CTGCGAAATTTCCCCACACTGAAATAAGAGTTTGGCGTGTTGGATAATAAATAACTTATTAGACGTTTTGTTGTGTATTATCCTGAGTATTTTTACTCGTTATCTGTATTTTGACTCGCCCTACGGGCTCATCAAAATACTGCACAACTCGTAAATACTCAGCGATACTACACAACAAAACGTCTAATAAGATAAAAATACATATTATCCTAAGTTACAATGAAAAAGTATTAAATGATACACAATAAAATACATTAATAATATAAGATAGAATAATACTACACTAGATTATATCTAGTAATACCTTCATGACTTCTTCTATGTCATAGACAAAAGGCTGCTGTCCAAAATTTGCATCTACCACCTCTCCCGGTGTTTGAAGACCTACTGTTGGGTATAAGTTTGCCTAGCAATACACAAAATGAAAAAGAAATGACTTCTTGAATATACAATCTGCAGTATTTAATCAATAAATTCACATTTCATTGGATGGTGTAAATGTAAGTTACTGTAGGATCACCATGAATACACCAAGTAGAACCTGGAACAATATAAATGCGAAAGATAAAGAAAAAACTTACAGGTAGATCTGAGAAAGCAATTCCTGTAAAAGAAAAGTAGGTGAATAAGTGAGTGAACAAAATTACAATTATAACCAATTAGACTAGAGGAAAGTATTTTATTAGATATATATTTTCATTTTTGTTAGGGATGTTTTTGTTACATCTGGAAAGTTGAAGATTCTATTCTCAAATAATTACCCGTAAAGACAAACTATGGCCCCCTTGATAATAAAACACACACCTGCTAGAAACAACTCAGTAAAGACAGACAAATAAAGTTTGAATACATTTATAGAAGTAAGATACACATGACTGCAACAGCAGTTAGCATTACCAAGATTAACTCCATTCTTTGTGTAAAAACATGTGTTATCAATCAGATTAATGCCACAGCCAATGACATCTCCTGTCGTGAAGGTTGGACCATACGGCTTTCCTGTTCCAGATGAGCAGAAGGAGTGCCCATCATCTCCATGGTAACCATATGAATTCTTTTCCCAACCTAACAGCCATAACAAAGAATCGGGTTTATTACCATTCTTATTCGTCTATAAGCCGAGACCCTAAACTTCAGTCTGTTTTCATCAGGAAGGTTTTTAAAAGATGTAAATTGAAAATACTTGGCTATAAGCCTGGACTATATTCAGAGAATTCCATTCTCGAAAAAACTGAAACGAATGCAGAAGTTTTGAAAAAGAAAAGTGTTTCAATGCAGTATTGCTGTCCAAAAAAATTCTGATGTAACCAGAGAGTACGTCACCAGTAAGTCTATGGTCCGTCACTGAGGAAAAATCAAGAGAACCTCTGATGGAGAGCTCAAGATGTCAGCGAAACGCTCAACAATGGGCCATTACACTCCTAAATATCTGCGGCTGGATGAGAGATTACTTGACTAGTTTAAAGAGCAGGGAAGCCAAGGTAAGTTTTCTTGTCATGTGATCACAAATTTCAACACCGTAATACATGATGAGTTTGTTTACAAATCGTGGGAATGGGAAATTCTGGTTGGTCAGTTTCCAAATTCTCAAAACACTTTCGCAAGATCTATACACTTGTTCAAAACCTGTAGAATATCATTCTAACACTCTAGACGGCACGGAAGATGAAGCAATCTACTTGGAAGAAACAGCAGAACTAGCAAATGAGGAGATGGACAATGAATTCAATGCTGACATTGAGGACGAACAGTAAGCCGTATTTACTGCACACCAACAACAACAAACCCCTTCTTTGGAAGCCACCACATAAATAAAGTCAATGACCAACTTCAACTTGTTTTGTTATTTATTTCTGCCTGCAATATCTCAGCTTATAGACAAATAATTATATCTAAGTTTGCTTTGAATTTGCTGTGTCGGAAAATTTAGTATGGGTAATCAAATGGCGACGAGTGAAATTAGGAAATAATTTCACATGCGTTTTAAATTCTGATAAATTATCTGAACTTTGAGAAAACCCAGTGAAATTATTTCCTAATATCACGAGAAAACCATCGGATTACCTTTTAATATCGTGGGTGACAAATTATGTCTTGTTTACACACGGAGGCGTAAAATCGCTCGAGTACTTCATAAAACTGCTCGGGAAGAATCATCTCCAGGTTTTTCTCAAGGTTATTTTCGTTACACCACTTCTCAAAAACTTGCACCCAATTAATTGTGCTCTTTCGAGTATTTAAATTTTCGGCCACATCTTTTAATTTCGTAACTTGTTCAAGGGTCACCATCTTAAATCTCGATGCCATCTTGGCCCTGATCGAGATACAACAGATGTTACCATGGGAATTTTGTAATTTTACATGTGAAATTATAAAATTAACGCTGAAATTTCGCGTCAGAATTAAGGAGTAATTTGTCACCTATATTATGTTTGGAAAAACACTCAGCTATAAGCCAAGAACACTTTAGCTCAAATTTTCAAGATTTTGATAAAGTTTTATGAAAAAATCGCTCAGCTTATAGATAAATAAATACAGTGCCTCTTCCTTAAAAACACTGTGGAAGTACTTCATGACTCAAAAACCTGCCACAATTAAAACACACCCTCTTCCTAAAAAAAAATGTTAATTACTAACCTGGTAATCTATTCATGTTGACTCCTTGTGCAGATAATCCAATACCCATATAGCTGCAAGAAGAAATCAAATTAACACCTATAATCAGAGAATGTTCACTGCCATACATTCACCACTTTTGTTCCAGCTTTTTGCTGTATGCACTTTTCCTTTTTGTACATTAGAAAGAAAAGAAGGGCCAAAATTTGAAAGAAATTGGGAGATTTCTTTTCTGTATTTTGATTTGGATGCTGAAAACCCCTCTTGAGTGTATGTATGTATATGTGTGAGATTCAAGGGAGAGAGCACCTGAAACTAGTCAGTCCTGTCTACCAACGATAAAAATATTTTTTAGTGTACTGGGATACTGATAACTCCTTAGACATTACATAGTATTATATAGCAACTTGTATGCATGTGTTTGTAATGGTAAAATTCTGCACTCAAAATTTCAGAAACTAGGAGATTTTAGATAGTTCTAGAAAAATATTTACAACCAAATAAAATAGTTTATTCTCTAATTGTAGTCAGGGTGCCTTGAATTAATGAGATTAGTGCAGTCTGTATCGTTAGCTTTCAATCAATCAAACTGGTGGGATTATTAAAATACACATGCACCAAAAATACAAATGTGGTTTCATTTTACAGGTGTCAATCAAATATGGCTGCTAGTATTCTGCACTTTTAAATATTCTGGTTGAAATGATTGCAAATGTACCCAACAAATTATTTTCCTTTGTCCAAGGTACACTATTGCGGTCTTAAAAAAAGGGGAAAGAAGAAATCAGAGCATTTAAGAACACTTTTCCCTGAAATCATGATAAATACAACAGTTACAATCTGTTACCACATTCTAAACACTGCCTTTCTGGGCCAGTGAAAATAATGTATTTAGACTGTTTATGCAAATGAAGAATTGGACTTTAATCTTTTTAATAACTATTGTGGAACTTCTAAATTTGTATGATTTGTGGGACAAAAACCCCCAAAGTAACCGAATATTCATACTGTTACGGAAATAAAAATAAAAATTCTTGAAAAAAGTACCAATCCGTCATTTACTGTCATGCATCTACCTTGCATCTTCCTGAGATGCAATTAAACATTATACCTATTTTTTAACTGTGACACAAACGTTATCTGGAAAAAAAAAAAAAAACTTGCCAGCAACTGATTCAAATTCTTAGTTATTAGGATATGATGATGATAGTTGGGCGGGATTATCTCTTACCCATCGCGTCCTTTGCTAACAATTCTGACTTCAAAATAATAAATACCACAAGCTGCTGGAATCGAGTGCGTAGCCCTAACCGAGGCCGCGTCTTTGTGAGTCTTTCCCACACCTGAAAGACACGAATAATAAGCGTTATCGTTCACCAAACAGGCTTATTCAAAGCAAAATTGTTGGACCTAGCGTCAACTTCACAGCTACAAGTAACTTCCATCATGGAGTAAACAATATAAGTTAAAGCTTGCATGTAAACTTTAATCTTCACTCAAAAGCATGCGTATCCGTCGTAAAGTATATAATCTAGATAACAAAAATACAAATCGAAATTTACAGCAGCAAATGTTTACAAGGCTTAGCCGAATCCATAGAATATAATTAGCTTTCAAAATTCAACCTGCCATCAGAGAAAATTTCAATTTTGACGATAAAGCGCAAACAAAGAGATAAATTTCAAATAGAAAGAAACAGCCACTTCATTCGTTTCAAACGTAGTCGATGCAGCATTTCGTTTGTGAGCCGTTTTCTTCGGCCAGAAAAAGAAAGCATACACACCGATAATAACAGGAATAGTACCTCGTTTCGAATTAGCTACCAAGGTGATGGAATTCAGAGCTCGAGAAAGAAAGAAAACAAAAACACATACAATCTCACTAACCTTTGTAATGCACCCTTAAATTATTCTGAGAAAGCCCTATAAAAGTGAATTTATCTTTAGGAGACCATGATCGAGGTAGAGGGGTCTCTGATTCATTTACTTTAGGATACAAAAGAGCTATTCGATCAACTTGTTGATTTGTGTCTGAATTTGAAGACGAAGAAGATGGACTACTGCCCGCCGCCATGTTGATTTTTGGCTACTCGCGCGATCCGTTGCGTCATCTAAAACCGCAAGGAGTTCTGGGATTAGGACTTGGCTCCCACATAAACGGGTCACCAACCATTTCTTTCCTGTGCATATTTTGAAAAGTCCCACCACAAATCATCATATAAGAGTTACTTTCGCATTACTGTTTTAAACAGTTGAGGAAGGGAAATATTCCGTCTCTAGGTTTTGTTTGAGAAACCAATGTCTGTCATCAATGAAACTGTAATGCTACAAAATACTTAGAAAAAAGACGTGCATCAGTAAATAAATGTTTTAATCATTAGTTGAATTAAGTCTAGACTTCGATGCAACCTCCACCAGGAACAAGAAACTCAATCCACTCAAATGCAAACACATTTAAAGAGTTCTTACATAACATAGTAAACACTTTGTGCTACTGTACATGACGTATTTTTCAATTACCCGGAAAAATGGCAGACCCTAAATGACTTTGTGATTAGTGAATTGGCGTTTATTCTTCCTATACAATGAGTTTTGTTACCACGGTAGTTCTAATTCTTTTCGGATTATATATAGCTAACAGTTTTTATGTTATTTATCACCTTTTTCACATACCGAGCTGCCAGGGAGGCTCAAGGAAATGTCTTCAACCGCATGGAATTATTGACAAAGAGTTAGAGGTAAGCTAGCTAAGTGGCACTTTCTACGGAAAATATTTTTTCCGTGGTGTAATCAGTCCAAAAGTTAGTCTTTGAAGCCTTGTTTCCTAGTGACTTAATTTTTATGGGATAAGGCCCCTCTTCCACTTTCTCTTAATTCCATTAAGCTTTTTTCCATTTTCGTTTCATTATTAAACGATCTCAAACTTAAGGAGCGGTAGAGGGCCACCAGATAAATAAAGTCAATGACCAACTTCAACTTGTTTTGTTATTTATTTCTGCCTGCAATATCTCAGCTTATAGACAAATAATTATATCTAAGTTTGCTTTGAATTTGCTGTGTCGGAAAATTTAGTATGGGTAATCAAATGGCGACGAGTGAAATTAGGAAATAATTTCACATGCGTTTTAAATTCTGATAAATTATCTGAACTTTGAGAAAACCCAGTGAAATTATTTCCTAATATCACGAGAAAACCATCGGATTACCTTTTAATATCGTGGGTGACAAATTATGTCTTGTTTACACACGGAGGCGTAAAATCGCTCGAGTACTTCATAAAACTGCTCGGGAAGAATCATCTCCAGGTTTTTCTCAAGGTTATTTTCGTTACACCACTTCTCAAAAACTTGCACCCAATTAATTGTGCTCTTTCGAGTATTTAAATTTTCGGCCACATCTTTTAATTTCGTAACTTGTTCAAGGGTCACCATCTTAAATCTCGATGCCATCTTGGCCCTGATCGAGATACAACAGATGTTACCATGGGAATTTTGTAATTTTACATGTGAAATTATAAAATTAACGCTGAAATTTCGCGTCAGAATTAAGGAGTAATTTGTCACCTATATTATGTTTGGAAAAACACTCAGCTATAAGCCAAGAACACTTTAGCTCAAATTTTCAAGATTTTGATAAAGTTTTATGAAAAAATCGCTCAGCTTATAGATAAATAAATACAGTGCCTCTTCCTTAAAAACACTGTGGAAGTACTTCATGACTCAAAAACCTGCCACAATTAAAACACACCCTCTTCCTAAAAAAAAATGTTAATTACTAACCTGGTAATCTATTCATGTTGACTCCTTGTGCAGATAATCCAATACCCATATAGCTGCAAGAAGAAATCAAATTAACACCTATAATCAGAGAATGTTCACTGCCATACATTCACCACTTTTGTTCCAGCTTTTTGCTGTATGCACTTTTCCTTTTTGTACATTAGAAAGAAAAGAAGGGCCAAAATTTGAAAGAAATTGGGAGATTTCTTTTCCGACCGGGGCTCGAACCCTCAACCTCCTGCACAATAGTCCAGCGCACTATCTATTGGGCTAACTGGGCGGCCTTTAGATATTACTTAGTATATATGTTCAAGATGAAGCAATTTGAAGGAAGCTGCTTTTATCCTCAATTCAAGGTGTTTGGGGGTCTAAAATTAATTGTACTGTTTGAATAATGATCACTGTAAAAGTTCTGGTCAGAATCAGAAAAGCTATTAATAATTTTTGTGTGCAGTATAAGAGGGAATTTATTAATTGATGAAAAGATCAAACATAATTTGTAATTATTTGCATTTTGGGCTATACCACTTTTTTGAATTTATATCAACATTTGGTTTTTCTACTTGCAGATATCAATTTATACATCACTTGAAGAAAATATACAGAACATTAACAAGAGAAATTCTAATTTTCTTTGGAAAAGTGATAATTTTAGTGTGTCAAACCAGTTCACAGTGTAAGTTCAATATTTGCCATTCATTATTGTTGATACTTAACCACTGCAAGCCCTAGAATTTTATAGTAACAGTTGTTTCCTATACTGTGTCAGTACCATGTTCTCAAAATAATTGTTTTGAAAAATAGTTTCTCTTCTAGTATTTGTTACCCTACTAATTAAAATTTAAGTGAAAAGTTTTTATCTCCTTGGATTTTTAAGGAGCAGAGCAAATCCTTGGTCTAACTGAACATCTTCTTATATGCAAATCTAGATCAGTTGTTTATCTTCTCTCATCTGCCACCTTGTATATTTGTTTCCATTACTTTATATGTTACTGGAGGTAGTAGTTCATTTGTTCAGAAAGCATTATGGCTTATAGTGTATTGAAACTTCAAATGACATTGGTTATATTTCTTATAAAAGTATACGAGTTCCATGTTGATGTACTTTTAACAACAATTGAGTATCCTGTTTTTTGGAATCAAAAGATATTAAGAATAAGTTCTATGAATTTTTAAGGTACTGGAAAAGTTACAGTCTCTGAGCAAGGCAAAGAACCTGGAGATTGTACTGTATAATAACATAACATGACCTACAAGTTTTCAATTACCAGAATAATGCAACATCACTTGACCATTTTTGATTAGTAGTGCCAAGGCTGTCTCACTAAAAGTTACAATTTTGGAGAAAACCTTAGTGTAGACAAAAGGTTTTATTGCTTGTGTATGGCCATTACCTTCATACAGTGTAAATTCAATTTAGAATTCTTTTCTTTGCAGATCAATAAATGCAAGTATACCAAATGAAACAAGAAACAATGGATCACTGTATGCTCACATATTTGTTTATCAAGTGGGAGCTTCCCCTTTTAAGAGTGAATAGGTATCACTTGCCTCAGCTCCTCTGACAGTGTATTCACTTCCTCAAGATGAATCTATTAACCTTCTTTCAGAGGAAAATCTAAAGGTGAATCAAGTTTTTCAGTTATTTGTCACCAATTGCTAATAGCAAGGCTCCAAATTCTGCATATAAACACACACACACAACCCACAATTCCTCCATTCACTGTGATGAAGGGCCAACGATTGAAATGTCAGCAATGAAACTCTTTACAGTAATCAAATTACATCCTCAACTTAGTTGATAAAACGAAATTAACATCGCATTTATTTAGTTTTTCAAATTCTGGTGATGTTAGACTCAAATATACTGGTGCATATATAAATGTGTATTTCAACTGCATGGACTGCATGATTAGTTTGGTTGTTGTCTTTTCTTGGTTTTCCATTTTGCAACAAGCCCATGCACATGTATCACTTTATCTTCACACTAAATCTGATCTGTATTATTTTGGTTTTCAAATTCAACTTATTTTTTCTGATAAATGAATTCGTTCTTACATTTTGAAAATAGAAGAAATTAATTGGTTAATTTTCTGTTCATTTTTTCATCTCCCTTACAAGTGACCTTAAAATTTCACTTGTCCTTCTCATCCTCATCTTTATGCCTCAAGACCCAGTTTAATAACACTTTTGTTATTATGCAGAAATCTAGCGATGCCTAGAATGAGATTCCAGTAACCCACTGGAAGCCCATCCTGAATTTTCATGTTATGAATGAAAAAGTTGAATTTGAGAGACAAGCCATTCCCAGTGAGGTCTACCCTTTCATCAGGTATGATGGACATAATTCCTGTTGATGAGAAAATTTTTGAATGTGTATATCAGAAGTGTATGACCCACATATGTTTAGTTATTTTACAATCTTATTTTAATAGAGTCCTTCTGATAGACAGACATTTTATGGCTGGAAAAAAATATCATCAAATGGGTATCTTATGCAACTGCTCAGTGATGTGCATAGCACATGTTGTTCATAGATTTAAGTCTCCTTAAACTACCCCAAAATGTTTATGTTTATTTTTTGTTATTATTGCCGATAGGTTAGCTCCTAACAGTCAATACCTTCCTGTGTTATACATTGACCAGCTTGGCGTGATTTATAGATATCTTAAGGTATGTTGTAGTTCAGAAATTAAATACTTGTGCCCGCATTTGGGCACAACTCATTCCATTGTTCCAGAATACTCAAACTAATATTTGGGGAGAATGGGTAAAACCTTAAATTTTTTTCACTGATTATGACATTGCGCTACATGTATTAATTTTTGTTAATTTCCTCACAGCCTGTGAACAAAAGCAGCAGTGAGATGAAACTAAAGATAAACTACTCACCTATATCCCTTGGCAAGCTTCGCATCTGGTCATCAGTTCACCATTCATTAAAGTCAATGAAGGATTTAGGTATGAATAAAAGCACAGCTTCAATATGGATAGTGGAAGGTCCTGTGGCCTCATGATTAGTGTGCTTGACTCTGGATCAAGTGATCTGCATTCGAGCCCCGGCCAAGGGACTTTGTGTTGTGTTCTCAGACAAGACGCTTTACTCTCACAGTGCCTCTTTTCACTCAGGTGTTTAAATGGGTGCCAGCAAATTTAATGCTGGGGGGTAACCCTGCGATGGACTAGCATCCCATCCAGCAGGGAGTAGAAATACTCCTAGTTGCTTCATGCTACGGAAACAGGATTTAAATGCTGGCCTGATGGGCCGCTTGGCTCTTAAACAGACTTTAGCAGTATGGACTGCAGTATATTTTAACAGTATGGACAGTATATAACTTCTGCAAAAGTTCCTTTTGGGTGCTACAGATAAATCAGGGTAATTTCTAATCGAAAATTATACAACTCAAGTGAAAAACACCTTGATTGACTTGTTATGATGATAAAAAAGGGTATGTGGGACAAGATGGATTGCTGCAAAGTCATCATACTTCTTGTTGAAGGGGGTGCAGGGATGTATTTCATTTCATCTTTTAGCTACTAACAGCATTGTTCAGTTGGTATAAAAACCCTGTTTCTAATAATTAAGGATTTACAGACAAGGACTTGGATGATATCAGAGGAATTTTCACAGACACAAATCTCTTTCTCCTGGCTCTCACCTTTGGAATAACAGTTCTCCATGTAAGTTTTACATCACCAAACAAATATTCACTTGTTCAAGAGCACCTGCAGAACTTTAACCTAAGAAATTGTCATGTGGTTTATTTGATATTTGCATTGGTTTAATTGCATAAACTTTCCATGAGAAAGAACCATGAACAGTACTTTCTCAAAGTTATAACAAAAATTTCAAATAATAAATGGAATCTTTCAATGGAAAAGGATTCATTGTGCCATTCAGTGTTCAGAATTTTACAGTTGTTTGTACAGGAACCAACCATTAATTATCATGTTCATTTTGTAAGACAGCAGTGTGAAATGTTATTATTTTCTTTTGTAGCTTCTGTTTGACTTTTTAGCCTTTAAGAATGATATAAATTACTGGAAACACAGAGACAGTATGGTTGGCTTATCAATGAGAACAGGTAAGGATACACCTCCACTATATTTATACTTTCTTGTGCAAAGTTTTCCTTAGCATGGTACTTGTAAACGGAAATTTGGGCAAGTTGTGCCATTGTTGCTTATTTGAAACATTTTTTAACTACAACATAAATACGGTGAATGGGCCAAATAGTAGATTACACAACAAATGAAAATTGGATGGCTGTATTATTTCCTTTTATTATATGGCTGTCTTACAAGGACTGGGAACTACCGAATTCTCGAATTTGATTGGCTGAAATCAATATTGAAAGCAGTCTAGGTTTTCCCATCTAGATTGGCATCTAGACCGGTCTAGAAAAAAAAAGGTACAAAGAATATCTTAAAAAATTGGCATATAAGACACAGCCATATAATAATAAACATCTTATCATTAACCGAGCTATGTCAGTCTGTATGGGAGAATCTTGACCTCAGTCGCTGGTACAGACCTCACTGCATTCAGTCTGTACTGGCGACCTCGGTCAAGATTCTCCCATACAGACCTCCCGCTCAGTTAATAAGAACTAAGTGAAAACTCGAGAATCAGTAAGTAACTCTGAAAGGAGTTGGAGCCAATAAAGATTGTTGTTTGTGGCATTTTCCTCTCAGTAGCCTCGAAGGTAAAGAAAAGTCATAGAAATTTTTCGCAAATGCAGTACGTGTTATTATGTTATTGATGGTTTCTTTCCCTTTCCAGTCATTTGGCGATGTGCGAGTACATTCATAATCTTCTTGTACCTGATGGACGAGAAAACAAGTCTACTTGTTCTTATCCCAGCCGGGATTGGTGTACTCATTGAAGTAAGCATTTGATTCATTATGAAGCAAATCCGAGGCAAGTGTTCCAAGGTGCACGTGTAAGGTGTGCCTTCAAGGTACACGTGCAAGGTGCGCGGGTAAGGCGTGCGTGAATCGCCCCTTGCGTTCGTCTAGCGTTTGCCTAGCGTTTGCCTCCACTCACATTAAAACCGCAAACGAAAGCACTTACCTTCTGCAGGCTAGTTAAAATCTAAGCTAAATTACTTCACAGGTTGGCTAATAAACTCGTGTCTCGAACTTATGATACCTTGAATCCCTTAACTTCTGTCACTAGACTCATTCACCAGTTTGAATTCAACTATTTTACATTTTTGATCAGATGATTGATGGCACAACTACTTGCAGTCAGCTGGCAGATAATCATGACATGATGTGAAATAACAATATTTTCATATTTACTGTCTGTGATCACATTCCTCTACGGGAAACAATCAACTCAATAAAATTTGCCTTGCAGTGCCCCCTGAGCCAATATCCGGAATGCACGGTTCAATCCTCATTGAAACCTGAATTTTCTTAAGTAATTCGAAAACGGCGGCTGGCTATAGGTGGTTTGCAACCAATCTAAAGAGACACAGGTAACGATGGTCAAAGGAACAAATGCTGGTGGACGAACAAAAGAAGGTAATGAGAGACAAAAGAAGAACGAAAGAAGCTAATGTTTACGTCCACCAACATGGCGGCAATGACGTAACGTGCAAACCACCTATTGAGCCTAGTTATCGAGTTGAAATTAAATAGTCTCCCTCCAGACTCAAGTTGCAGTGAGCATAAACTGCGAAGTACTTTCCTTTCAGCTACTAACTGGTTTCGCGTCCTTGTTTTTTGTTTTGTTTTGTTTTGTTTTTTTTTTATTATAATTTTTTTTTACTGGAGGTTTGGAAGGTTACCAAAGCATTTAAAGTCAATATCAAATGGGAGAAAGGCGAAAGACCTTCAATACAGGCGAGTAAATGAAAACTGACTCTTTCTGAACTCTCTTCTCCTTCAACTGCCCGCTAAAGTAAACAACAATTGGCAATAAATAACGTGAGATTCTGGCAACAAAAAATCACTGGACATTTTATCGGGCACACACTTAAAGCGCGTGTAATAATTGAGAGATTTCATATTCAGTTTTATATAACAACAATTGTAAAATAAATAACACCAGTTATTAACGTCCTTTTCAAAGTAAAACTCAGTGATGTCGGCGGATAGA